TCGCCGCTCGTCGTGCGCGTCGGCATCGTGGGCGCGGCGTCCATCGCCAAAAAGAATGCGCGCGCCATCCGGCGCAGCGAGCGCTGCTCGCTCGTGGCCGTGGCGTCGCGCAGTCTGGCCAAGGCCGAGGCCTGGGTCGCCGAGCTGGGCTTCGGCGCCTCCTGCCGCTGCGTCGAGGGCTACGAGCACCTCCTCGCCGCGGCGGACGTCGACGCCGTCTACGTGCCGCTGCCGACGAGCCTCCACCTCGACTTCGTGGTCAAGGCCGCGGCCGCCGGCAAGCACGTGCTCGTCGAGAAGCCCGTCGGGCGGACGGCGGCCGAGGTGCGGGCCATGGTCGACGCGTGCCGCGCGGCGGGCGTCGCGCTCCTCGACGGCACCATGTTCGTGCATCACGCGCGCTTCGAGCAGATGGACCGCCTCTTCGCCGACGAGCAGTTCTGGGCCCCGACGCGCGTGAGCTCGGCCTTCACGTTCTGGGGCGACGAGGCCGCGCGCGCCCGCGTCCCGGAAACGTTCGACGCCCCCTCCGACCGAAGTGACGAACTCAAGAAGTTTCTTCTTTCCCCAAATGATCGACTCTGAATAGACCGAGCCCCCGGCGCTATTAACAAGCCAGCGTTTCGGTGGGCGATCCGATCGGTCGACGACGACGCGCGCGCGCGCGTTCCCTCCGCGCCCGAAAGGCCCCGCGTCGAACCCCTTTCCCCCGTCGCAGTTCATGAACGGCGGCGACATCCGCACGCGGCCGGACGGCGACCCGCTCGGCTGCCTCGGCGACGCGCGCCGCCCGCGTCCGTTTTCTACCACGCCGCCTCCGGAATGACGACTCACCATAATCAATCACCATCTTTCGAGTCCGACGAACGCGTGACGAGAGACTTACCACCCATAGACTGACCGGACTTCCTTCCTTCCGCGCCATCGCCGCGCCGCGCGAGGGAGGACGCGACGCCGTTTTTTGTGTAGGTGGGCTGGTACTGCATCCGCTACGGCCTCGCGGCGTTCCGCCACGAGCGGCCGACGGCGGTGAGGGCGTTTTCGCGCGCGGATCGCGAGGGCGTGCCGACCGACATGGACGTGGAGGTCCACATCGGCGAGGACGGACGCCGCGTGCTCACGTTCCACTGCAGCTTCCGGCACCACCTGCGCCAGTGGGTCGAGGCGTGCTCGGCGACGGGTCGGCGCGTGACCTGCGACGACTTTGTCATCCCGCGGCGCGAGGAGCGGTGCGAGTACCGGATCGAGGAGATCCCCGACGAGCAGATGAGCGAGTACGACACGATCGTCCGCGGCTGCGTCACCGACGTCCCCGTGCTCAACTGCTGCCAGGAGGTCCGCATGTGGGACGCGTTCGCCGCGCTCGTCGCCCAGGGCAAGAATCGGACGGACCACTACGACCGCGCGATGCTCCTCGCCCACGCGATCATGGACGCGGCGATGGCCTCCGCGCGATCCGGCGGATCGGTCGTCGCGATTCCCGCCGCTACGCTACGCTACGCTATGCGACCCGCCGCGTAACTGTTGTTTGTTGATGAACAGCGCAGCAATTGATGGCTCTGAAAGCAGCAGCGCACATCCCCCGGGGTCACCGGACAATCCGAGCCTCGAGCTCCCCGGGGCCTAAGTGAACCTCAAGTGAAGCGAGACTTGAAGCACTTGTGGATTCAGGCCTGGATTCTTGCAGCCCCACCAAGTCTCTTGCAGCCATCCCCGACGGCCCCGACGGTGGCGTAGCTCGGTGGCCGCCGGTGATCCGAACGGGCGACACTCCCGCGCGCGTCTAGTGCACGTCTGCCACGCGGCGCGTCGAGATGGGCTGCTCCTCCAGCGCCTTGCCGCCCGAGATCCTACCGGACCCGGGCGACACCGAAGAATGCGTGTTCACGATCGCGTCCGCGGGCATGTTCAGCAACGACTGCTACGCGTACAAGGGCGACTCGACGGACAAGAAGGACCGCTGGTTTCTGCTGCACAAGATCAAGGAGGAGGCGCAGCGTAAGGTCGACCTCGAGAACTTCGTCCGAGCGAACGGTTCCAAGAAGGGCGAGGTGCTCTGGACGGCGGCGTTCGACTCGAAGCCGTCGTTCGAGATGAACGAGGCGCAGGGCGCGCCGCCGCCCTGGGCCACGACGTGCGTGGGCGTTCAAATTCCCGCCGGAGCAGAGCCGGCCGTCCTCTTCGACGTGACGATGCCGTCCGGAGCGACGGTGCGCGTCGCGGCGCCCGCCGGGTCGTCACCGGGCCAGGTCATCCAGGTCGCTGACCCGGGCGTCGTCGCGAGGCCGGACTACGACTACTGGCGCCGCCTTCACATCACGGGCCGAGAGGGGGAGGGGACCGGGATGGCGTTCGGTCTCCACATGGGAAACACTGATCAGAAACAGATGGACAAGTTCACGCTCCGGACGCGCGCGCTGATCGCGCCGGGCACGCGGGGCCGGGCCCTCGGCGAGGGTTTCGAGCTCCAGGTCTACGCGCGCGGCACGAGCGTCTGCCACTGGCACTGGGAGACAGGAACCGAGTCAGGCGACGGAGCGAGGCCCAAATGGCGGCAAGAAACGAAGTCGTTCGTGGACGCGCTCCACTTCAACCTCGTACAGACGCAGACGGGCCAGAGCGTCGCGACGTGGTCCGCGGCCGGCGACGACGTCACAACGGACAAAGAAACGAACGTCGTGCAAGAGAACCCCGTCTTCGCGTTGGCCATGAAGGGCTGGCTGAGCAAGTCGATCCGCCTCGAGACGAGGCCGCAATGGGACCCGTGCCTCGCGCTCATTGTGGCGTACCTGTGCTCCAAGGAGTACTACCCGAAAGACATTAGGGACGGCTACGCCAAGTTCTTCCAATACCCCCGCGAGCCCCGCGGCTTCGAAGGGTCCGAAGCCAGGTACCGCACGCGCACCACCCACCCTCACACTCACACTGAGATGTACTAGTAGTACACTCGCAAGTAATCAACATACGTCCGCAGCACGTACGCGTCGCGGTCCCGCTCCTCGAGGAATCCCGCGCGCCGGCGATATGGTACTCCACTGGCATGGTATCTGCGCGCCGCCCGCCCCTAGGGCGTTTCGCGGAGGAACTCGCGGACGGCCGGCGCGAGGTCGCCGCGGCCGTCGACGAGGGGCGCGTCGCCGAGGTCGCACTGGAGCTGGGGCGTCCGCGGGCCCAGCGCCGCGAGCGTCGCGGCCGCGTGCCGCGGCGCGTGTTCGCCGCTCAGCTTGTCCGCGCCGCCGCCCTTGTCCGAATAGCAGACGAGGACGCGGCTCTCGAGGACGCGGAGCTTGCCCGCGACGCCCGTCGGATCCGTCGCGGCCATGCCTGCGCGGCGCGCGACGAGCGTGACCGCGGCGGCGGGACCCCGCGGACGCCGGCGCGCGACACCCGAACATGCCCTGGCCGGCGAGCGCCTTGGCGTCGCCGATGCCGTTGTGGAGCGCGACGCTCTCGAGGGCCGGCGGCGCCGGCCCGCCGCCGCGGCCGCCCGCGGCCAGCCGCCGCAGCGCGAGCACGGCGGCCGCGTGGACCGCGCAGGCGCAGCCGACGGCGCTGCCGAGCACGGCCACGCGCGGCGCCGCCGCGGGGATGCCCGCGAGCGCGCGGTCCGCGTCCTCGGCCAAGGTCGACACCGCGCGCCGCGGCGCGGCGGCGACGACGCGGCGGCCAGGGAGCGCGCGCGCGGCCGCGGCCGCGAGCGCCGGGAGCGCCGCGCTCGGCGCGAAGACGAGGACCACCGCCGCGCCGGGATCCGTGGCGCCGCCGCCGAAGACGCCGCCGCGGAGCTCGACGAGCCCGGCGCGTTTTGCGGCCGCGTCGTTGACGAAGCCGCCGTCCGCGTCGTCGAAGTCGCGCCGCCCGAAGAGGGCGTCGAGCAGAGGCGGCTGGTCGAACATGGCGATAGTCGATGGCACGGACGCTTCCGCGATGCGCTTGAGCCGCGCCGCGGCCTCCTCCGCGGCGCGGTCGTCGTCGTCGGACGAGTCGTCGTCGTCGTCCTCGGGCGCGGGCCGCGGCGACCGCGCCGGCGGCGGGGGCCGCGTCTGTACCGGCGACGGCGACGGGGGCTGCGTCTTGACCGGCGACGGCGGCGGGGGCTGCGTCTTGACCGGCGACGGCGGCGGCGGCTCGTCGACCGGCGACGGCGGGGGCCGCGTCGACGGCGGGGGCCGCGTCGACGGCGGGGGCTGCGCCTCCTTGTCCTTCGCGGCCATGAACGCCGCAAAGCCCCCCGACTTGGGCTTCCCGAACATGCGCGGCGGCGATGCCTTGTCAAAGCTCGGCGTCAGCGTCTTCATGGAGACCCAGCCCTCGTGCTGCCCATCGTCGGTGCGCACGCGCACGCGCGCGCCGCGGTCCTCGACGATCGTGACTTTGGAATTCGTCGGCACGATGGTGATTTGTGGTGATGCTGTGCTTTCTTCTTCCCTCATGATTGCGCCGCTCTTGGGCTTGACAGTGGCCCTCATCATCGTGTCGGGCACCGAACGAGCCGTCCTTGAATGTACAAGCAACCAAGAAGTGAAGTCATAGTGCCGCAGCGCGCGATCGATGAGGCGCCTTGGGCGCATTTGACCGCAGCTCGTCGTCATCTCAGTGGATGTACCGCTACCGCGCGCAGTCGCGTTCGCGGTCGCGGTCGCCGCAGCGCGTGCCGGCGCGGCGGCAGCGCTCGCCGCAGCGGTCGCTGCAGCGGTCGCGGTCGCGGTCGCCGCAGCGCTGGCCGAGGGAGCGCTCGCCGCCGCGCTGGCCTCGGCGGCCGTCGCCGCGTCGCCGGTCTCCGTCGCCGCCGGCCGCGCGCTGGCGGCCGCCGCCGCGGCGCCGCGAGGGCCACGGCGAGGCCGTGCGGCGGAACGCGCGCATCACGAGCGCCGAGCCCGACGAGATCCTGGACATCGTCGAGCGCGAGCCGCTCAACGGCGTCAACGTCGCGACGGCCGTGACGCGGCTCGCGCGGCGGTCGCGGCCGGATCGGTTCCAGCCGCGCGCGGGCGACGCGCGGTGGGCGACGCTCGCGCGGCGCGTCCGCGACCTCGCGCCGGAGCTCGGCGCGCGCGAGGTCGCCAACGCCGTGCACGGCTACGCCATGCTCGACCGCGACGAGCGCGCGCCGCGGCGCCACGTGCCCCTCCGCGCGCTCGCGGGCGAGCTGCCGCGCGTCGCGGCGTGCATGCGCCCGCAGCACGTGGGCAACGCGCTCTGGGGCTTCGGGCGCCTCCGCGCGCTCGGCAAGCCGTCGCCGGACGCGCACGACGCGCTCGAGGCCGCCGTCGCCCGCGAGGCGCGGCGCTTCAAGTCGCAGGAGTTGGCGAACGCGCTCTGGGGCCTCGCGATGCTCGCGCGGAAGCCGGCCGCCGCCGCCGCGGACGCGCTGTTCGCCGCGGCCGCGGCCCTCGCGGACGACGACGCGCTCGACCGCCAGGCCTGCACGAACGTGCTCTGGAGCCTCGCGTCGCTGT